ACTCTCTGCCATTTTTCTTGAGGCGCAAGGCCGATAATTCCCATCTTGTCTTTCTACCAGGTCATTAATTTAGCCGTAGCAGACACATGCAGCTGCTTTTTGAATCTGAAATCTTCTCACTTCACATTACTGTCGTGTGAAAAGATAAAGCGATTAACATGAGCAGAAAGGCTTTTCTATACCTTGTTGCCATCTGTTGTCAACTATATTTGTCCAAGGGCAGAAAGGCTTTTCTATACCTTGTTGCCGTCTGTTGTCAACTATATTTCTCCAAGGGCTCTTAAAAGGCACACAAAAAAAAAAGAAAAACATTTTTTTGTCTAACATTTTAAATGTTCGAGATACTGATAGTTGTTTAAGTCTCTTTTTTTCCTGTTGCCAAAGAGAAAATATTGCGACTATTTACCCTTTTATCCAGTTTTGGAATCCAGTCGTGGGCCGATGATGACATTAATAATTTCAGCCAGCATGTCTCATGAAAGATGCAAAAGTGCAAATCCTATGCAGAGTCATTCTACCCTGGATGGATCACAAAAAAATGAGGCCACAGGAACAAATGACAGGACAGTGAGTTCAGCTGAGGCCGCACTTCTCTGGTACTGGGCTTAGAGTCGTTGAGTGGCAGCAACATGTGTACTCTGGCTCTGAATGGAGATCACAACTCTGATAGTGAAAGTGTGAAGTGACGGCCAGCTTTCATGTTAAAAGGCTTCCTCAAAGATGTGTGTCAAGCAAGGGTCAGAGGTCAAAGGGGGAGATTCAGGGGTGAAAATAGTTCTGTGTTGTGACTTGCAGAAGATGGTGTTCATTCGACACTTTGACCGGTTTTCTATTTTTTCTAATTAAATTAAATTGTGTCAGTGCATACTTTTTTAAATATTTTTCCAATAGGTGTATCTTTAAATACTGTTTAAAGTGGCAGAATGTGAGATTATGTGCCTTTCACGGTAAAAAGGTGAGAGGTGAGAAGTCCTGGTGCTGAGTCCCTGTGATTTATGTGGTAATATGTGGGGAAAAAACCCATTAAGTTAATGTTAACGTTTAAACTGTAAAGTTAATGTTGAACTTTATTGATCCAGCACTGGAGAAATTATTGTGAAATATGACAATATCAGTTCGATATACTGTAAGAAGTCCTTTATTCATCCCACTATGGAGAAATTCCCAATAATTACAGCCATCCCTGGATGGGCTCCGATCACCAACCTCTCTGCTAACAGCTGAACGCACTAACCGATTTATAGAGACATCTGTAAAACATTAATTGTGTGAAGATTTTCCTTCAGTAGTCATTTAGTCGGACTCTGAGGTGGTCAATAAAGACATCAGGGATCGATTGATTCATGTTTGTTATTCTTTTTCTTCTTGGTTTTATTATTTCTTCAACACATATTTGGGCTAATTGTGGGCTAATGTAATGCTAGTTTATAGTTTGAGCTATATTTCTGTGTTTTTAGATTATCATGAACTGTTGTTCCCTGTTTTATAAAATGGGGCCTGACAAACACTGATAAACACCTGTTAAAAATAATACCAAATAATTTATTAATAAATAATAAAAAATACTTCATTTATAAAGACATTCAAACAGTCAGTTCAAACAACTCTGAGCTGTTCATCTCAGGCCGTAACAGAAATCTGTCAAAGGCCTTTATGTTAATACAACATTTATGTATTTATTTATTTTCTCTTTTAGCGACTGCAGTGTTTTCCCATTGTTTTAAGGAGTCATGATCTTATTATCACTATCACAGCAGTTTAACGCTGGGAGTCTGGGTCTTCTCCGGCACTGACTCTGACTTTTTTTTTTTACTCCTGACCTCTCTGACCTTTTATTCGTTTCTTTTTCCCTCACACACCCTGTTTCTCAGCCAAATGCTTTGGTAGCCTGATAACACTTTCACTCCCTTTTCCTTGCTCTCCTCATCCGTCTGTTGCTGCGGCGGCCGACCACACCTACCTGCACGAATACATACACAGACACCCACACTGTTCATCCGAACTAAAATCATTTCATTCTCAATTTTCATGTCTTAAACTTTATATGAAATTACACCGTATTTTACTGAAAATATTGCATTGATTAGTTACAGTGTTACAGTAACTAAAATGTCCAGACACCCGACCATGTGTTAGCATTAGTTCTACATTAAAACCTGTCCCTGGAACTCCTTCTTTCTAAGCCTAACGTCTGTGAAAGCCAAACTCTCCACATGTGTTATACTGAGAAGACAGACTGGGTGGAGGCAGGGAGAAGAAGCTATCAGTTCAGATTCATGCTGATGGAAAAAATGTGGTATGAATTTCTGGGCAGCTCTTCTGCATTTTGTGCATTTTTATCATATCAGAAACGTTCACATTCAGCACTGTTCCAAAAAAGACGTCCAGAACTCACAAACAGGTCCTGGGAGAGATTTGTTTTGGGTCATGGTCATCAAAGTATTAAAGAAGTGATTTCCAGAAATTGTAAGACCTTTAACAAGATAAAGAACTTAAATAAGTCTTCTATTTATTTTGATGATTTGGAGCTTCCTCTTTTATAAAACATATGTCGATGCATTTTTGAAAATTCACTTGTGATGGTTTCTTATCTTTACTTTTGGAGTTAGGTAAAGTCGAACCAAAAAAAAAAAAAAAAATCACAATGTTAAAATTTTAAATGTTATAACAACCAGTTATGTCTTTTCATCCCTACAACAAATGCCTGGAAACCTCCAGGATCCCAAACCTAATCCTGACTCCCACATCACAGCCCATCATGGAATGATGGTGATAAGCAGCTCTGAAGAGTATACAGCTCGATAACCTTTAACTTCCACACACACACACATTCACACACACACACGCAGGATGATAACCTGTAGGCCATGATCACAGGAAGCCTGACTCTCCCATGAGTTTCCCCTTTGACTCGTGAACTCCGTGACCTCTGAGGTGATGCTCTTGACTGATTGGTTTTAAAACAAAAACATTAATCAGAGGTGGTTTTTTTTTATTATCTGTGCACATTTATTAATGCACATATGGTTTTATTACAAGTACAGCCGTCTTGAAAATAGATCATATCTAAGACACATCTTACACCAATGAACACTGTCCCGTAGATCTTACTCACAGTTCTCTGATCTACTTCCATAGATGGACATTAATAATAATATTTTTTTTTAAGGACAGTTAATGGCCTAGTGATTCACAGGGTCCGATCTAACCCTAACTATTTGACATGTTCTTTTCTCCCTGCAGCCGTGTGAACAGAAACAAACTTCAGGTTCTTCCAGAACTCCTCTTCCAGTCCAACCCAAAGCTCGGACGACTGTGAGTACACCGTTCCTGCTTTTTGTTTTTTTTTTTCTCATCCGTCCCTCCAGACACTCTACCTTCTTCAACTCTCCCGTCCCTCCCTTCCACCTTTTATGCTCTTTCTGTGTCTTGATGTTGTTACGCGATCCATTTGAAAACATGGTCACGGTGCAGTGTCGGGGCTTTTATCCGGGTTGAGGGTTCAAGTCCTTTGCCAGGTGTCACAGCGCCGCTCTGTGCTCCTGTTGAGAGGTGAAAAAGAGCACGTTTGTGTGTGTGGCCATTACTTCAAGAGGTGAGAGTGTGCCCGGAGTGACTGTTGTGCTTGGAACCGCCAGGAATTTTTATCCAGCGGCACAGACTTTTCCCAGCGTAGTTAAAGTGCAGGGGGAAGTCATGTTGATGCAGAGAGGTGCCCCACATGCCCTCCTTCTCTCTCATTTTCATCTCAGGTTCCTAGAAAATCTCCACTTCTCTTTCTCTACATGCCTTTTCTACTTTGTTTCACTCTCAGAGTTGCCCCCGCTGCGTCTTCTTTTCCTCCCTGTTTATGCACCTTTTCTATTCGCGTCTCTACACTTTTCCATTTGTTTTATCCTCAGAGAGCCTGCATCAACTCAGGCCGAAGGTTTAAACACCCTTTAAACTTTCGTGAGGTGTGTGTGTGTGTGTGTGTGTGTGTAGAGGTATATCCGTTCTTCTGTGCCTTAAATTACAGTCGCCTTTATTTTGCGTCTATCCAGGTTATGTTGATACACTTAGTTTTGTGTGTTTGTGTGCCGCAACCTAACACCACAGCTGGGACACTGCACTTGTCACCTTTCACATTCCCTTTAATAATGTTTTCATAACCTCCCCAAACCCCCAGAAGGTGGGATATCCTGACTTTGTTTAAAAGTCAAATCCCCTTGTGTGTGATCCTGAGGTAGTTTTGATTTGCAGGAGTCGAAATAGGCCAGAACTGAGAGGTGTCCTGTTTAAAAGTTGTATTTCGTCACCCTCTCCTCTGACTTCTTTGACCAAATTAACAATTTAAAGTTTATAATACTTTTTTTAGCTTGTACTTTGGCTAACCTGTAGTTTTTTAAATGAATTTCACATTTTAAAAAACACCAGATTAAATCCATATCTAACATGAAGTTAACCTAACAGAGCTCATCCTGGTCTTTACTCTGTACATATCACAATAATATTAAAGATTATGGTGTTTGATTAAGTGTAACTTAAGTGTAACACCCGAAGGTTGAAAACACTGGATTAAATGATAAAACCCAGCACAGTGGATACGCCACACACTTAAATCTACTGATGTGAGAACTACACAGCCATCCACTAAGATACTGCAGAAATAAAATCACAGTGGTAATAAAAGCAAAGGCTGGCTATAGTAATTTAATTTATCTGGCAGTCCTAACAAGTTAGAAGATAAGAATTATCTTCAAATATCTGTGTAAAAATATTCCAAACAGCAGGAAAAATATGCAGTCGTTACTGCCTTTAAAGACAAGTAAAGAGATCTGTCCTCGACTCAGAGCGTGACTCCTCCATTGTTCCGTCTACCTTTCATCATCGCTGTCACTCTACGGTGTGATGCCTCTCATTTATTCCCATTATCGTCTCTTTTTTTGGTATGTGCAAATTGAAAAATGTGCATAAAAGCAGCTGGATGCAAATGCACCTCCTGAACCTTCTATTAAGAACTCAGCGCAGACTGACTGACCATGTGTTTCATATATTTGTGGCGAGGTGTGATTTATTGCCGAAGACAGCAAAATAGACTGTTAGAGCCGAGAGCACATTGTCATTTATATCTGCTGGATCACCCACAGTCAACAGGCCTCACGTGTGAACATCAGGGACGCAGTGGAAGACGCAGGAGACACATCTGACCGTGTTTGTCTTTTCCAGCCATTTCTCCCGTTCCTCATGAGTGACACTCTTATTTCCTCCACTGCCCGCCTCACTATTCCATTAAACCACTAATTGGTCTCGATAGCTTTTATTTATCACCGCCTGAATATGGATCCCCATTGAGCTCTAACGCAACTTAGTCAGAGAGTGGAAAAGGGTGAACGTGTTCCAAACTTAACATTATAAATCTCATGTTCTTTATATCCCTACTTTGCCATCAGCACGGTCTAAATTACAGTGTCTGGAGTTTCCTCCTGCTCTTTATATTTGGTCTTTCCGCTTTTCTCATTTTTCTCTTGTTTCCCTTTTTTTTCTCCTTCAGGAGTGTTTTATCCAAATCGCACGCTGTGATCTGACAGTAATGTAAATATCAAGGTATGCTGACGGGAAACATGTAAAGAAAAATGCAGAAATGCAGAAACTGAGGTGGAAATCAGAGACGAAAACGCAGTAATCATGATTACTGATGCTGACAGGGAGAATAGGAATGAGTAAAAGTAGGAGGAGGAAAGTGCAACTTCTGCCCGTGACTTTCTGGTTTAGGTTCATAACCTTCCTCCCTGTCAGCTTTGGTTAGGCTTTAAATGATGGCAGTGTGATAGGAATTACCTCTTAACCCTCCTATTAAAGCTCTGTGGTCTGAGGTTTGGAGATGGGAGGGGAGGGAATGAGCTGGACCAGCTTGAAGGAAAAATCGGAAAAGGTTGGAATATTAGCTTTTGAGGAGGGCGGGCGTTTGAAGAAAGAGGTATCAGGCTGGATAATAGCTTTTATCAGAGTCTTGGATCCCGTAAGTGTGGACAAAAGGCAGAGGGTTTGACTCCAGAAAACAAGAGGTTGTCTTTGGAAAATGATCTAATAAAGTAGTAAATGTTACTGATGACGCCTTGACAAAGACTGATGGAGAGGAGGTATCGAACTGGTCGTGTGTAGGGGGTGGTGATAGGATGAAAGGATGCTGGAGGAGGACGGAGGCTGTGGGTGGATGGATGAAGGGATCGGAGTCTGTGGCCCCTATAAGGTGCTTGGGGGGGGTGGTGGAGGTCAAAGACTGGAGTCTGTGGGTTTCAGAGTGTGCAGCCTGTGGTCGTCTCCTCTCCCAAAGTTTGTAGAGACTGTGGTCTCACAGTACATGCACACAGACACACAATATCACACACAATAAGCTCTGGCTTTGAGTAGAATTCATTTGTCAGAATGGCAGCGAATTTCTGGTTTGAAAGGCAATGGTCATTATGGCGTGGATGGAAAAATGCGAGTCATCAGTCAAACGGCTCTTGTGCATCAGCGAACCTCACAGCGTATCAGAGAGCTTTGCTTTCCCAAATGACTCTATTGCAGCGTTCTCACCACAAAGTACCAGCATCAGTACCCATTTTTCTCGAAATCCAATGGTTCTACTTGAAATTGGCCTTCTGCATCCACGCTGTGGTGAGAAGTCCTACGGTGATAATCAAAATTATTTTCCAGGAATTGTATGTATGGTGAATGTTGACCTTCTTGGCGAAGAAGTGTTGGCCACCTTTTTTGTTCAAAAAAGTGATTTATTGATATTGCAATTGATAATGCACTCTTACCAGAGAGTATACCTTGCAGCGGTCCATCTGAATCTGTAACTAAAAGCCGCCGAATCATAATCTTCACTTGCATGTCCTTCCAACCTCAATAAAGAACGATCGTTTCACGTAAGCCATGTTTACACGGCTGTGATACAACTACTGATCCTAGAGCAATAGCACTGATTTTAGCCTTTCATTTATAAAGTTTGAGAATTCCACGAGGCTAACTCAGCTAGTTGGAGTGCTGCGGCTAATGATTCCACTTTGGTGTAATACGATGAGCTATTAGTCTCACAGTTTTCTGGACTTCCTCTGGTGTTAATCGTCTGTGTTAAATTTGGTGGAGGGGGGGGGGGGGGGGGTGACACACACCACCTACAGGCCTGGCAAATTTACTACAGGGACCAGAGTAACTGTAGACTGTGCAGTGACCACAGGTGCAAGTGTCAGTTGTTGTCTCTGTACGTCTGTCATGAATTAACATCATCATGGCAGCCCAACATCAGCTGACACTGGATTTCGCTTTTTGAATGTGTGCAAAATAGATTTAATTCAAAGATCTTGAATCACCGTTACTAGATTATCATAACTAAATTCAACATACAATACATTTTTTTTCATACTTAATGACACACCTGGGCTACAGTTAGAGAATGTTGCTCATTATCCTGTAATTCTTCCTCTTAAAAAAAAAGTGTCAATAAATGTAAATGAGCTGTTGTGGCGAGCTGATTTGTAATTTAAATGGACACTGTAAAAACGAACAAGAAAGCCTCGTTTCCAATAATCCGGCGATTCCTTATTAGTTTCCCACAGCCTTTGTGCTCGTGCTCCCGCTGCTGCTCCCTCTCTCAGTACCTCATAAACTGCCTCGCAGCAGGATGCAGCGACCAAATATTCAGCCTGAAGGGGTTTAAGCTTAATGGAAAGAGAAGTGAAAAGTGCCCGCAGGGTTATTGGAGGAAGAATTTTACCTTAGGTGTCCTCCAGAACGACGCTGCTTATTTTAAATTGGTTGAGTTGGACCCGGTCCGCCTGTCTCGCCCCATGCGCTGATGATTGAACTTTACATGATAAAATAAGGTCCTAACCACCATTTAGTCACCCATGAACAGGGTACATACAGGACATTCACAGGCCCAAGACTCAGTAGGTGCAGAAGTGAGGCAGAATAAGCTGCCTGGTTAAGTCAGGGGTAAAAGAAGCTGAATGGAGTAAAGGAATGAGGGACGTAGCGCAGGCTGTAGGGAGCAGCGGGTCATTTGAGATGTTTTTTCCTCCTAATTAAGTTAATGGAGAAAGACGAGGAGGTTGCCTTTAATCTTAGCTAATTGTCCATTTAGAGGCGACTGCCATAGTTTACCTGCAGGAATGTCACGGTGTGTGTTACAGAAAGTGGGCGTGCACTACGTGATCAGGGATTGGCTGCAACCAAGGGGGCCTCAATGTTGATTGGCAGAATGGGTGGATAGGAAACCAATGAAAGAAAAGCTGCATTTGTCCAATGTCTCATCATTCATTGTCTATTTTTCAGCCATTTTTTTC